TAGCAATAAAATTATTAACCATATTACAAATAATTTCATCAGAAACAAGTTGACCATTACGAATAATATCTTCAACTTTTAATCCAATTTCTGTTTTGTTTTTAATTTCAGCTCTTAACAAATCACCTGTTGAAATATGAGCAGAAGAATTAAGATGTTTTTCAATATTAGCACATTGAGTACCTTTTCCAGCTCCTGGTCCACCTAACATAATAAGGAATACTTTAGCCATTTTTACTAATTTAAATTTATTGTTCTTTCAGTAGTTTTTCTTTAAATATTCTCTTCTTTTCTTATTAGAAGAAATCTTTTTATTTTATTGGCTATTTTCACTTTGAAAATTTTTCCACGTCATATAGTAATTTAAAATAAAAGCTACCTTAAAAAACCCTTGTTTTTTTTTCTTTTTTGTTTCATTGGTTTTTTTTTTTTTTATTTTTTGTTAAGTCAGTTAAAAGTTAAACTATGAAGTATCTCTGTCGTTAAAATAATATTTGTTAATGTTATTAATAACGAAATATTTCTTTAAAATAAAATATTGGGTTATTTGAACCAATGAAATAGTTAAAAAAAACCAATTATCATTTAACACAGAAATCTTCATTTCATTATTTTATTTTTATAGATAAAAATTGTAGCACTTTTTCGGTAGAAAGAATCAAATTATGTTGGTGAAACGAAATTTACTTTGAGGGGTTTTGCAATTTGGTTTGAATAGTTTTTTAAAAAGACACAGCATAATTTTTAGAAGAATTCGAAACTTAAAACAAACAAAATGGAACCGCCTAATCTAACCACCCCACGGTCACTTCTTACTATAATTCAAAGTCCATTACCATTTACTGTTGATAATAGTAAAATTTCTTCAAAATTTATTACTTCTAACTCTTGTTCTTCTTTAAATGTTTCATCAAATTTTGGTGAATTAAATATTCCTGATTTAATGGTTATAGCATTGCAATTAAACCAACAAACAACAAAAGTTTTTCTTAAAATTAATAAAAAATGTAAACAAGCAGTTTCACGTCTTAAAATCAATTCTTTCACTGCTCCATTAAATACATTAAAAAAATTTTTTCCATCAATGGAAACTTTGTATTTGGTTAATCCAACAGAAATACCAAAGTTAAAATATCGCTATAAAATATATTCATCTTCACCAGAATTATTTAAAATAATCTCTTCTTTAGAAAGATATATAACATCATTACATCTTGTTGTTCAACAAAACTCATCTTTACCAATAAAAAAACTAAAAAGTATTGTTGAATTATCATTAGATTTTACTAAAGTATCATTACAACAATTAGAGTCTCCTTTATTACGTGAAGCTCGATTATTTCGTTCACCATTTATCAAATCTTTTCATATATATTGTCAACAAAAAGATATTGTATCAGCACAAAATATTATTGAAGTTTTTAATAGACATTTACCTATTAAAATAACTCTTATTGTTGAAGGACTTACTTTTTATCAGAAAGGTATTGATGCAGTTATTGATAATGATTTATTAGAATTAAAAAATGTTTGTGTATTACCTAATGGATCTTATTATATAATAACTGCTAATGTAGTTGAAGAATTTAAGAAATATCTTCCTTTATCATTAAAAATAAAAGGTACTGATGATTGTGTTTTATTAGATTTATCTGGTTATAATTATTTAACTCATTTAACAATTATTCAACAAAAGTCAATGAAATATTTATTGTTACCACAACAATTACATACTTTAAAATTAGAAGATGCTTCTGATTCATTAGTAGATTATCAACATTCTAATATAAAAGAACTTATTCTTTATAATTGTACAATTACTAAACATTATTATTCTGAATCATTAAATAAAATTACTATCTTACATTGTAATTCTGAATATTTAAAAATTCCTATTCCAACAAAAGATCTTTCAGTTTCTTATTGTAATAATCTTAAAGAAATAGTTATTCCTTCTTCATTAAATAAACTTAGTTTAATTCATTGTATTAATTTAACTAAGACTAAAGGACTTACTCATTCTAATACATTAGAACTTGAATTAACCTATTGTCCTTTATTAAAAAAGATTCATATTCCTTCAAGTTTAAACAAACTTTCTATTACTTCTTGTGAAAAACTTAATCAAAATTTAGTATTAAGAACTGTATTAATAGAAGAAATGAAAATTATATCTTCTCCAAGGTTTAAAGTTAGTGAAATACCTAATACACTAAGGAATTTACAAATACAAGATTATTGTGAAAAAGAAATTATATTACCAGAGTTTGTTACTGAGTTGAGATTATCTCATTGTGATAAATTACAAGCTATCTATTTCCCTAGAGAATTAAAAATATTAAGAATCTATAAATGTCCATTAATATCTTTTGAAGGAATTGAAAATATACATATGAGTATTTTGGAAGTAGAAGGAGTAGAACGAATTGAAAATGTTTTATTACCATTAGGATTAGTATCAATTACATTTATTGATTGTAAATATCTTAGAATATTAGATGGAATGGCTGTCCTTACAACATTAAATGAATTAACAATATCTTCATGTCCTCAATTAAATAATTTAGTATTACCAAAGTCTATTACTCAACTTAATATCAATAAATGTAAAAATTTAACTTGTATTGATGGAATTGATAAGTTAAATATTCCATTTGATGAACTAATTAATCTGTATTATTTATTAGAACATCCTTTACTTCCTAATAATGTTACATCCCTTCAACTTGATGGATGGAACTGTCTTTCATTATCAAACATTTTTAGTTTACATCTTGTTGATTTAACAATAAATAATTTCTCACATTTATCATCACTAACAATTCCTAATTCATTAATAACACTTTCTTTATGTGGATGTAAGTCACTTCAACAATTATCTTTTAAATCTCCTTTATTAAAGAAGTTAACTATAAATTCATGTACTTCATTAAAGAATGTTTCATTTCCAATGACATTAACATATCTTGTTGTTATTGATTGTTTTGCACTTTCTTTCAATAAAATTAATACAATACCATTATATCATCTTGGAATAGAAAATATTACTTCCTTAAAAAGTTTAAAAGTTCCAACAACACTTAAAGTTTTACAAATAGCATTTTGTAATGCACTCAATGGTATAAACAATTTAAAGAAAATTGATTTAAAAGAAATAGCATTTTTATCATTATACTCTCTAAAGAAAGTTACTCTTCCTACAACAATGACTAACTTAATATTAGAAAATTGTGACAATTTGAATAAAATAAAAAATTTAAATAATTGTCCAATTCAAGAATTAAAATTGAGTGGATTAGATTCTATTAAATCCATTTCTTTTCCAAAAACTTTAACTAAATTGAGTATTAATTTATGTGAAGAAATTAGTAAGTTAGATAATTTATGTCAATGTAATATTTCTGAATTATCAATATTTAAATGTAATAAACTACCATTATTAAATCTACCACAATGTATTACTCGACTACAAATTGACTCTTGTAATTCTATTCATGAGTTAAACTTAGAAAATTATAAAATTTTTGAATTAGAATTAACTACTTGTGAACAATTAACTAAAATTATTTTCCCAACTACTATTATTTCATTATCAGTTACTGGTTGTAATAATTTACTTGAAATAAGTAATTTAGAGTCATTAGAAGTTCCATTAGATACTGTTTTTAATCTTATTATTAATCTTGAACATCCTATTCTTCCACCATCATTTAATGATATTCAAACATTAAATGCTGTAACTGAAAATTTTATTGAAAATGCCTCTCAGTCAATAAGTTCTTCATGTACTCCTCAGTTATCAAAAAATAAATCTAATGGAATGAACCAACCTTTGAATGGTTTCTATGACTCTCCTATTATATCACCACGTTCTCCAAGAAAATTTATTCCATGGGGTTTATCACCTTCTCCAACTTTTAGTCGTTCACCAAGTCCTCATTCATTTAAAGTTGGAAGTCCTCGTTCTCAAAAAATAAATTCTCCACGTTCATTTTATATACCTTCAACATTACCACCAATATTAGATGTAAATGATTTGTTTACAATATCAAATTGGAAATGTCTTGATATTCAAAATTTAAACTCTTTCAATATTGATGGTCTTTATGTTTGTAATTGCATTAGACTAACAAAACTTGAACCACCACAAACTGTTACTAAATTAATTATTGAAAATTGTATTTCTTTACACTACCTTTCATTAACACCACATCTTATTGAATGTTCAATTCATTTTTGTTCGAATATTAATCAATTAGATATTCCACAAACTTTAACTGAATTACATCTACTTCATTGTGAAGAAATAAATGAATTAAAATGTTTTGAAAATGCAACAAAATTAATTAATTTTTCTGCAAAATATTGTAATCAACTTAGAACTTTAATTATTCCAAAAGGATTAAAAAAGTTTCAAATTGAATGTTGTGATAGGTTAGATGAAATTCTTAATATTGAAAATAGTTATATCGAAGAAATGGTAATTGTTGAATGTGATAGTTTAGAAAATATAACATTTCCATCGACTTTAAATAAACTCACAATTGAAAAATGTTATTCTTTGCATAAACTTCCGAATCTTCAAAAAATTTGTCCACAACTTACAAGAAGTATGTGTAATATTTATAATTAATTAATTCATATTATATTTTCTTTTTATATTCAATATTTGAAATATTAAAATCATTTAAATAATAACAATTCACTTAACTTATTATCTCTAATAATTTATTGAAATTCATTTTCTTCTTTTGAATTATTTAAAAAGTGTAATTTCTAGAATCTTATTGTAAAAAAATTATTTTATTTCAATAACAACATAAGTTACAATTTTTATATATAAATTCATTAAAATTATGTAAATGTTATCAAATTCAACTTTACCATTCCTTTTTTCTCTAAATATTCTTTTTTATTCAGATATTTTAATTCTTTTTTATTTTTTATTAAACATTATTGAAATTTTTCAAACTTATTAAAAATAATTATTAGTTAGTATTATGCAAGAACCACAACAATTATTTCAATCATACATTGTTCAAAATAAAAAATGTCAACAACTCTTAAGTGAAACACAAAATGAGATTCAAAATTTCTATGAATCTCTTAAAGATGAACCTTTTATTAAAAAAGAGAAAGAAGATTATGACACTTCTATTAAAAGGGGAGAAGGTATTCTTGATAGGTTTGATGAAACATTTAGAAGAGTTGAATTGATTAGAAACAAAGGAGACACCACACTAAAAGAATTAATCCTTACAAAAAATACACTAAATTGTCTTCTTCATGAAATTGACCGAAAAGAGTTAGAACTTGTTGAAAAGAATAACCATATAGTTGACAAGACTATTGGATTAGTGAAAGAAAAGTATCAAAAACAAAATGAACTAATAAAGAAAAAAATGGATAGTGAAATTAATAGCTTAAATGATATGAGAAAAAACTATTCTAAGGCTCAAAGCAAAGTCAAATTTAATACAATGATTGATGAAGAATTGAAAAATGAACAACAGAGAATAAATGAAATTCATGAAATAGTTTACAGAAAACAGATTGAACAAAATAGAACAATTAATGAAGAAATGAAGCAAATTGAAAGTTGGGCAGGAAAAAAACTTGGAGATGTCATTTTTGATTCAAACAAACATAGTTGGGGAAGTCAGAGTCAATTTGGTGATTTAATGCAAAACCGTTCAAATTATATTTTGTTAATACAAGATACTAATGGAAATAAATTTGGTGGCTGTTTCTACAATACTTTAAACTCTCTTTCTTCTTTTATTTATGACCCAAATTCATTTTTATTTTCAATAAGGTCAAATGGTAGATTACCTGGTATGATGAAATTTAATATCAAAGAGGATAACAATTCTATAGAAGTGTACAGTAGTCAGAGTACTTGGTTATTATCAGTTGGAATGGGAGGAAATGGACAACAAGATGATATTTGTATTATGAAAAAGGGTTTTGAAAATAAAGAGCAACATAGTGGATGTAAACAAAGTTCGTATGACTACAGAGGTTATCAAAATGCATTATGTGGATCAAATAATTTTGATGTTTTAGAGTTTAAAATGATTCAAATGAAGTAAAAATCTACTAATTGAAATTTTAGACACATTGTTTTGTGTTTATTATATGCTATATTTTATTCTCCACTACATATTGGATTTAAAATAAATAAAAATAAGTTAATTAAGTGTTAATAGATTTTTCCTCTATTGTTCCTGACTCAGGGGAGACTCATCCCATCCGTTCTTCTTCAAGCAGATCTACGGAGTATGTTTGGTTGTGATTGAAG